ATATAATAAGAGGAACTGGATATTGAACTGAACAGTCCAAACATAGTTAATTCTGCTAGAGTAAGTGTTGTTAGACCATGTATAGTGAGTATTGTCAAATGTGCACCAACATCATATATGTTGGAATAGTATAAAAAATTTATGAGTTTATATTTTGCTGAGAAACTGAAGTTGAAATCATGTATATTGAAATCTCCAAGAATAATAGAATGAATATTGTGTTATATAGCAGACTGAATCCAATTAATAACAGTAGTTTGTATAGTAGGTCTTTTTGTTATATCTGTAGAGGAAAGATAGACTGAGATAATACGAAGCTTAATATTGCTTTTAAAAAATAGATTAATAGCAATAGCACCACCAGGATGGGTGAGACAATTGTGGATATGTGGTTGAAAGAAGTTACATATCATGATAGCAGCACCTTCTGCTAAGCTATCTGAATTAGCCCAAAAATATGTAAAAAGATTATTATTATAGAAGGTTAGATTAGGTTTTTCTAAAATTGTTGTTTCAGTAATGCAAGCAATACTAATATTATGATCAAGACAGTAGTTTTTCAGGTTTCTCTTTTAGTGATTGTGTTAAAACCACGAATATTATGAGTTGCAATATTAAGATGCAAATCTCTATCATAGTTGTGCTGTTGATTAGTGATATAGTTAATAGAAGTATTGTTTATAGAAACAGAGGATAGAGTAGATGAGTTTGAGGCCTTATCACAAAGATTTTATAAAAATAAAAGTAGTTCTGTAGAAATAGATTCAGAATTATCTGAGCATATTTCATTGTTAAGTATATCATCTGTTCTATTAGTAGAAATTGGTAAGAATATATTAGTAATATCTATAGATCTGTAGGAGTTAGTATAAGTAGAGGAATAGATAGGTGTGTTTAATTGTGATTTTAAGGGAATATCATAAGAATCATATATAGATAGAACATACTAATTAGGAAGCATTTCAGATTCATGAGGTAGATATACATATGCTTCTGTTTTGTCACTATTAATAGTAATCAAAATATAATATACAAGGTGCTTAGCATTGTTTTGTGTTAGATCTTGTAGAAAGGAGTTGACAGTTTGTGGTTCTCTTAGTAAAAGAAGTTTGTAATAAGTAAGAAATTTGTTGTAGCATATTTCCAAGTCATAGGAGTCTAGTGATATTGGTAATGACTTAGATGGATGTTCTTCTAAAAAGTCGCTAGCCATTTTAAGCTCGGTTCTCACAGTTGCGAAGGATTCTATAGTCTGTCATGTACGTCTGATCTGACAATTATTATCTTGGTTCTCTGCGTAAATGGACTTAATCACCTGTTCACTTAACTCATTCTCATCTAAAAATATTATATAAAAAGTGAAGGATATAATAATTTTAGAGGCAGTGGCTGTATTCATAGATTCTTTAGAAGAACAAACTATTAAAAAGGATATATAAAGTTGTTTGTAATGAGGATTGTTGAGTATTGTTGTAAGTAAAGTCTGTAGATTGGTTAGATTATGGATTGTATTAAATGTGCTAGCTCATTATCATTAGCATCAATCATAGAAATGTTACCATTCAGGTTAATTAAGATTTCTGAATGTTGTTGAGCCCATAGATTATCGTCTATCAAATGTGTAGAGGTTTTGAGTATATTTGCGTAACTTGCTATAGTATTGTTATTAGTATTTTGGGATACTGTATCATAAGTAGACTTGGATATTTATACATTATATATTAAGGTTTTGGAAGGTGTAACTCAAGTTGGTTGAAAAAGATTTGTTTAATTTGTAGAGTCTTAAAGTTAACCTTAAATTTAGAGTATATTGTTTTTTCTGCTTCAGGATAGGCTTTTTCATTGTAGTATATTTGTATATTTCGTATTGATAATTTGTTAAATGATTTATGAATATGGTAGTCAGTAAGTACATAAGCAAGAAAATCAGTTTGCAATATTTGAAGCAATTCTATTGATAACTTTATGAGAATAGAAGCTATTAAGTTTGTCATTAGAGGCTGCAGCAATAAGATATTTATAGTAGTAGTAATAGAAGTAGTAGCTTTCATGAGTATAATCAGTATCTACTTTGTTAAGTTCTATACATTTAGCTTCTGCTTTATAGGGGAGTTTGCACAAAAGTGTAGTAGATGTAGATTTAAAAAAAGTAGCAGAATTTGATTAGTCTTTCCTAAATTGGAGTAAAGAGAGTAGGTTGTATAAGTTTGAGTTTGGATGGAGTGCTAGAAATAGGGGTTGAAAAGTATTTAAAAGATTGTTTAAAATAGAATTCAGATAAGTTTTGAACATTATGTTCTTTCTCTGGTGGGAGAGTAGAATAGTCTTAAACAGTACAAGTATGGATATAGTATAATGCTGCTTTAAAGCATTGTTAAGATCGATTTTATAAAGAACTAATATTAGTGATAGAAAATTTTTCAAGTAAAAGTGCTTTGCATATTTTGGCTAATTGGAGTGCGATTTCATATTTTATATAGTTTTTAACTTTTTTCTCATCAATTTTAGAAAATTGACATTTGTAAATGTTAAAGAACTTGTCAAATCATTTGTCAAATTTTGGTAAGTGATCTTTTAGAGAAAGAATTTGGAAGATCTCAAGAAAATGATATTTGGATATATTTAAAGAAATATTAATGTTGAATATATTGTCATTTTGTACTTTAAAGAGTGGTTGGTGAAGGGCATCTTTACTAATGTAATAGTTGAGTTGAAGTCTAATAGGGCATATGTTTAAATCTTTACAGAATTTTTTTGTATTGATAGTAGTATATTTCTCATTAAGAATGAGGTGTAGTTGTGCAAGATTTAGTGCTGCTAGGTTTTGGTTAGCAATAAAGTAGGGTGGAACAGAGTTGTAGGAGGTAAGAATTTTGAAATAGTTGAGTTTAGTAAAGAGGGTCTTGATAAATTCTTTAAGTAGTTCTTCAAGTGTAGAATGAAGAATATTAAAAAGAATAGTAATATTCTTATTGATATTAGGAAAATTCTCATATATAAAGTTAATAAGAAATTGAGGTCTTGATCCTGCTATTTTTTTAATTAAATAAAAATATGTAAATTTAAGTTCTTTAGCATATTCAGTTGCTGGTTTGATAACCTTGCCTGGATAGCCTTCAATAAAATAAGGTCTAATAAATTCAAAAAGTTGGTGTACAAGTGTGTTGTCAAATTTGGTATAGAATTTCATAATTTCAGTAATTAGAAATTTTTGGAACCAGTCAAGGTCTTTAGAGGTGTCACACTTTTGTTTAGATTCTTGTGAATGTTTCTGTTAGTGTTATTAATTTTGTTTCTATTTATTTTGGCTTTTGTTCAACTGTTGTTATTGTTGTTATTATTGTTGCTGTTGTTGTTTAGGAAATAATAAGGCCAGAATTTGGCCTCTTTCCTTAACAGAAAGTTTAGGAAGTTTAATTAGAAAAATAATGATTGCTTGATGACAAGTAAGAGGTGCTTTCTGTTTTGCTTTAATGAAAAAAATAACCATTTGTTGAGTGAAGCTAAGTGGGGCTGTTTGTGCGAGAGGTTTAAGTTTTATATTGGGAACATATGCTATGCATTAAGCGATTTTTAAAAAGGCCAGCTGTAGTGTAGTCAGGTGCATATTCACTCTAATTTGTAAATATACAAGGAAGGTTTTTAGTTTTGCAAAAGATGGTATATTGTATAGTATCTATTAAAGTACTATAAATTTCACACATTTTTGTATTTTCGCCAGTTTTGAGCTCTTTCTTTCTTGAATGCAAAACCACTCTGTCATAGTCTCCACTTTGAATTTGGGGTTTTTTTGTTAGTCTTTCAATCCCAGGAGCAACTTCTGTTTCTTTTCTTTCTTCTGTTTCTTTACTTTTTTCTTTTCCTTTCTTTTTTCGTTCTTTCATTCATTCTTTTGCAACTTCTTCTTCATTGGACACATAGGTCTAATCTAGCAGGTTATCTGGCCTAGCTGTATCATAAAAGAACTCAATATCATTATAAAATCATTTTCTTGTTTGTTGTGTAGATGAGATCTTTTTTGCATTCTCGTCTAATGTTTTTCTTAATAAACTTCTTAACTATAAAATTGTTAGTTTAAATAAATTAATATTATTAAAATTGTTAGAATTAATAAATTACAGTATTAATAAATTAAAAAAATTGTTAGTACATATTAAAAAAATTGTTAGTAATATAAAATCAGCAGTATTGATAAATTAATAAAATCATTAAAATTAATAAAATTGTTATAATTAATAAAATTGTTAGTAATATAAAATCAGCAGTATTAATAAATTAATAAATCATTAAAATTAATAAAATCGTTAAAATTAATAAAATTGTTAAAATTAATAAAATTGTTAGTAATATAAAATCAGCAGTATTAATAAATTAATAAAATTGTTAATATTAATAAATTAATAAAATATCAGTATTAATAAAATCATCAGTATTAATAAAATCATTAATATAAAATCATTAAGTTTTTACTTGAATATTTAGAATTTTATGAATTTTGATTTTTTATTATAGTATTTTTCAATTATATATAGGTTAATACTATACTCGACAGTCGCAAATGATTGTTAATCTCATAATAGCATAAAAAAAAATTCATAAGTTACAAAATTCATCATTAATTTGATCAAAAATCAACAAACCTCATCTGAACGCTATGTATAATCATATACATTAGCATTTCTTTTATTTCTGTTCTCAGGATCGGTCTTGCTTAGTTCAGGTAAGTGGATATCAGTCCTTGAAAGTAAATGTAATAACCTTTTTTTCTCATATTTTTGAATACACCTTGCCTTTTGTTCATATAACAATTGTGTACTTTTAATTCTTTGTACTTTTTTTTGTAATATAAATAATAAATAAATATAATATAAAAAAAAACCAGATTTTAGATTTCAATATTTATAACTTATCAGGCTTAGCTCAATAGCTAAGTTCAGTAAGTTATAAGTATTAAAATCTGAAGTCTGGCTATTTTATATAACAATAATAAAATAAAACTTTCATACTTCATTCATCCTATTATTAGCATGAATATGTCGATTTTCTTCATCTAATTTTCCTGCCTGAGCTCTCTTATACTGACCCCTTTAGTACTGGTGTAAAGCACCTAACCAATCTCAAACCTCTTTTCAGATAAGAGTATAAGTCAGAGCTAATGATCTTAGCAATTCTAGTAGTAAAATTTTGAAAGTGTCTTGATTTCCAGGCTCAGAAAAACTTTGTCAACCCTTAGTGCATATTTTTTGAGAAGCATTTTTAACAAAACTTTCATCTTATACTATAAAAAAAAAGAAAAGAAAAATAGTAAAATTATAAAAGAAAAAAATTAATCATTAAAAAATCGGTTAAAAATTATAATAAAAAATTAAAAAATAAAAATAAATATAATAATAAATTTAAACATAAATTTAAAAATTGCAAAAAAAAAAAAAAAAAATTCAAAAAAAATCAAAAATCATAAAGCAAATGATAAAAATTATAAAAAAATTAAAAATCAAAACAAGATAATAAAAAATTACAAAAAAGAAAACAAAAATTATAAAAAAAAATTAATAAACCCGTAAAAAGAAATTTAATTGTAAAAAAATTAATAAAACAGTAAAAAAAAATTTAAAATCGTCATAAAAATAAATTAAAATAAAAATTATAAAAAAAAAGAACTTTAATTATAAAAAAAATTAAAAAATTGAAAAAAAGGAAAAAAAAGAAGGAAAAGAAATGAAAAGAAAAATAGAACATAATTAAAAGTTAAACATATAAAATAATAAGTTATAAAAAAAAAATCATATTAATAAAATAATAAATCGTAATAAACAAATTAAAACTCATAAAAAAAGGTAAAAAATCGTAAAATAAATTAATATTAATAAATATAAAATAATATAAAAAAAGAAAAAATTGTAAAAAAAAAATTGCAAAAAAAAAGTATAAAAAAAAGTAAATAAAAATTATACAAAAAATCGTAAAATTAAAAATCATTAAAAAAAAATCTTAAAAAAAATTTTTAAAAAAATCTTAAAAAAAAAATCATAAAATAAAAATCATAAAAAAAAAATCTCCCAAAAAAATTCAGTATTAACATTACCCTAAATGTTTTTATATCAAAAGGCTTTGTTTGAAGTTGCAGTAGTTTGTGATCAGATAATTCCTTTTTAACTTCACCTTCGTCTTTACTTTTTTCAGCACTATTAAAAATATTAGAACCTGTATGTTTGGACTGTATGTCTGATTCTTTATCTAATTCATCATTAATTATAACTAAAGTTTTTATTTTTTCCTTCGCATCTCGATTTGCAGTCTCCAAATCTGAGATTTGGCGCCTTAGCTGTGCAATCTCTTTACATAAAGTATCATTTTTTACAAAAAAAATAAAAAATAAAACAAAAAAAAAGTTAAATAAAATTACAATAAGTGAAAAAAGATAATTAATATTTATCAACTTAATTTCAGAATTATTATATCTTTTGACTATCATTTTCTAATCTATACCACTCGGCATATTATAATGCAGAGTGATATGGATTAGAAAATGGTGCTGAAAATAAAATTATATTCGAATTTTTTGCAAACCTGCTTTTAGATCTTCGAATGATCTTTGTTATAAAAAACTTTGTTGCCTTTGAGGATTGCACTTTCAGATAACCAAAGTGTAGAATATTGTTGTCTTAACATAGATATAGCCGAAGGAGAGATGGTAACAACAGGTGATATAGTAGAAGAAGTAAGACGAATGGATGTTAAAGGTGTTGTGTGAGAAGTGAGATAACTGAGTGTTGAAGGTGTTGTGAGAGAAGTAAACTGAATAGGAGTTGAAGGTCTGTGAGAGAGGTGGGTAGAATAGATGTTGAAGGTCTAGCAGGAGAGGTGAGCTGAATAGGTCTAATAGGTAAAGGAGTGCTGATTTGAGACATTGGCTTGTTCTTCAATGAGTTGTTGTTGAAAGTAAAGTTTTAGATAAAAGTAAAGGTGTTGTTTCGATTATGATATGAGGTTGATGTTCAGCGATGTGAGGTTGAGGTTTGGTGATACAAGAATGAGTTTTGGTTGTAGGGCATCTTGAGGTTTTTCATAGTTTTTTCGATTGTCTTGACATTGTAAAAGAAAATATATATTGAAAAAAAAATATTAAAAGAAAAAATGCGTAAAAAAATAAAAGTTGCAAAAAAAAACAAAGTTGGAAAAAAATTTAAAATTTGCAAAAAACAGCATTACCTTTTATATTTTTTATTTAAATTCCGATTTATTTGTATGACCGTATTGTATTTATTCTATTATATTAATATTTACGATTTTTTTAAATCTTAGAAATAATTGAATTTGTATGTTGAATATATTCTACTGTCATCATATTTGTGATTCTTAACCTTTTGTCTTTATTTCATGTCATCATATGCATCTGGTGATATTAAGAAAAAACCTGAGTTTATAATACTAAATAAGAGGTTAAAGCCAGATGCATTTGGCATAAATTCAGAAATAATCTACATGCTGCATAAATTATCTTATTGATACTTATATAAACTATTAATATTATTGCATCAAAAAAGTACCTTGCATTAGCCATCATCTAAATATGTTCTACTGTAATTGATCATGTCTTACGATTAAACGAGTTTCATCTTATGCAATCAATCAAAACTTGCATCAATTAATTGTATCTTATAATTAATCTTATGCAATTAAATAGATTTATATTACAGAATTCATAGTTAAAATAATCATGCAAAATCAATACGACGAAATTTATAATAAACAAAATTTAATTTAATCGATATTACAGAATTCATAGATTTAATTGATATGACGAAATTTGCAATTAGCAAAATTTAATTTAATTGATACTACAGAATTCATAGTTGACATAGTCATGCAAAATTTGTTATGACGAACTTACAATTAATAAAATTTAATTTAATCGATATTACAGAATTCTAGTTAAACAAAATCAATATAACAAATTTACAATTAACAAAATTTAATTAACAAAATTTAATTACCGAATTCATAGTTAAAATAGTCATACAAAATTGATATGATGAAATTTACAATTAGCAAATTTAATTACAGAATTCATAGTTAAAATAGTTATGCAAAATCAATATGATAAAATTTACAATTAGCAAATTTAATTACAGAATTCATAGTTAAAATAGTTATGCAAAATCGATATGACGAAATTTATAATTAACAAACGAATTCATAGTTAAAATAGTCATTCAAAATCGATATAATGAAATTTGCAATTAACAAAATTTAATTACCAAATTCATAATCAAAATAATTATGCAAAATTGATATAATGAAATTTACAATTAACAAAATTTAATTACTGAATTCATAGTTAAAATAGTCACACAAAATTGATATAACAAAATTTACAATTAACAAAATTTAATTACCGAATTCATAGTTAAAATAGTCATGCAAAATCGATATGATAAAATTTACAATTAACAAAATTTAATTACAGAATTCATTGTTAAAATAGTTATGCAAAATTAATATGACAAAATTTACAATTAGCAAATTTAATTACAGAATTCATAGTTAAAATAGTCATACAAAATTGATATGACAAAATTTACAATTAGCAAATTTAATTACAGAATTCATAGTTAAATAGTCATGCAAAATCGATATGATGAAATAAACAATTAACAAAATTTAATTAACAAAATTTAATTACCAAATTCATAGTTAAAATAGTCATGCAAAATCAATATGCTGAAATTTACAATTAACAAATTTAATTATAGAATTCATAGTGTTATAGAATGAGTTGTAATATTAGTTTTATTATTAAGTTTATTATTAGTTATTATTAGTATATTATTAGTTATAT